AACGCTCCTGCTAAACTTAAAGTTTTGCTAAACAGCGTACCAAATCACAATTCACATAAATCGCTTCCAGCTTTATCTGTTGATGATCTGTGNAAAAACAGCAATTTCTGCAGATTTCTGTACATTTATTTATTGAAACTTTATGTATAGTCTCCACCAGCAACCATTCGTATATTAAGTGATGAAAAAATATTATTCAACACTGTTTTGAATACCTTAAATAATAGTGGGGCGCTGCTGTGCCAATTGGGGAATTTAGATGACAAATGTTAAAGATAGCTTGCCAGGCAAGGTAACATACGCCCACCGGCAGCCTAAGAATGATACAAGTGTCTTCAGTAACTATATTACAAATTTACTCATATATAATAAGTCAAAATGTATTTGTGAATCAAAAGTTTATTTGTCAGGCGAGGTTACATATGACCACTGGTAGCATTGTTTTTATGGACATAAATGAACACCCACCACCAACATTTTCATGTTGTTTTTTGTTGCATGATTATGATACACATATCTTTTTGTAATTACGTTTAGCAATATATTAGCAAAAAAACTTATGCCCCTTTGTGACTTTGCTATGTACGAAGCAATGTACATTGCACAAGCATAGACATCTAACACAAATTGAATGTCATGATTTGCTTGCCAACAGTCCAGTAATTTGGTGTCGTAAGCATTCACCCTAAGTTCAAAGGGACTTCTCTTCAAAAATACAGTAGGCTGAGAAATTGATGATCTGATCGCTAGGATATAGTCATCATATTTCAAATCTACCATTTCCAAAAAATCATCAAAAGTTATGTCTTCTCCCTCAATCATGTCATCCATGATCAGTTTCATTTTACCATAACTTTCTTTGCACTTTTGGGCATGTGGAAAATCACATTCAAGTGGTTCTAAAATTTTAGTTTCTTTCATAGGAGGCTTAGGAAAACCAAATCGACAAGTTTTTTTGATTTTTTCTTTTACAAATGTGCGAATGCTTGTGAGTTTGATATTTCACAAACTCTGCCAAATTTTCATCGTCCATCATTCTACTGCACGTAATTATAGAATCTACAAATTTACATCATTTCATCATTTCTACTTTCACCATACACAGGAGCTTCCGCACACCACAACAATGTGTGAATATGTGGTGAGCCTCTGTGTTGGAACTCGACTCTATAAAAATAGTCTGTGACTTTTCCAATAGGTGAGTTTTCTTTCTTTAGAACATCTTTAAAAAGCAGTTTGACCTGGAAGTCAAATTGCCTAGTACAAGTTACAGGGTCCGAAGACACCAATCTACTTTTCGTTTCCCAATCCATGTTATCAATCTCATCATTAGTATATTCTTTGTTATCTTGCACCCTACCAAGAATCCGTAACAAATGTCTTTTTTAAATCACCAACTATTATTTTCCGTCTATCAGTTTTGTTTTTTCGAAGGGCAATTTGAGCACTGCCAAGCAATGTTTTCATTTGCAACTTTTTTAACTTAAAAAAAAATGTTGTCAATGCAATTGGCTGCCCTCCGATCATCTCTTCTCAATTCTGATTTACAAATTTCACTGTAATAAACTTTAGTAGGTCTATCAGAAATTATAGTTCGACCTTTCCCAAAGAAAATGTTTGGAAATGCAAGTTCTTCAGAGTTTTTGTCCATAAATATACTCAAGGGAAAGTTACCTTCTCCTGGAGCAAAATTATGAACTCTCTCTTTCTCACCATTCTCAATAAAGTCAGGTGATGTAATAAGTGTGTCTTTAGAGCTCGCAACTTCTACATCACCTTCATCTTCACTCCAGTTATCTTCATCAGACTGTGCTAGAGAATTCTCATCATTTCCATCATCTTTTTTGACATCAGAGTCTACGACTACTGGAATCGCGTCAAATTCAGAATCATTCAAGACTTTTCCATTGCCTAGATTTTCAAGATCCTCCTTTCTATCATTTTTTGAGATCAGAGTCTACGACTACTGGAATCTCGTCATATTCAGAATCATTCAAGACTTTTCCATTGTCTTGATTTTCAAGATCCTGATTCCAATTTTCTTCAAAGCAAATGTCTTCTGTTTTATACAAAGTTCCATGTTCCTGAAGCCACTCGGCAGCCTCTCTGATTTTGTAGGTCCGAATGTTTTCAGTTATCACAGCATGATTGTATTTCAATTGTCTTTTCAACTGAGCTGCAATTGTCATTGTGTCATCTGTTGCTCTAGGCAGCATTCGGACAGTTGTAGTGACATTAGCAGGCACATTAACAACATTTCCACGAATTTTCTTCTGTTTTCCCCTGGGAGCAGCATATACCTTCATGAAAGGTATTCTTGGAGACAAAAGTCTCCATTCTGAAGGGTATAATTCCAGATTGTTCGGTTTATCTGGAAAATTCATTCCATTTTCAATCGAACAGGGTGGAATTTTGTTTTTCTTTATGTACCTTTCACATGTACCACATACCCATCCATCATTCTTCAAACAAAGCTCTGCAGTTTCATTTGAATTACGCATACTAAGGCATGCTTTTACACTATGTCCAATTGGTGACAAGACACACATACATAAGTAGGCCCATTTTCAATATTTTTTATTAAATTCAGCAATTAATTCATCAGTTGATGACATTTCTTTATTCTGTCTTCGAAACAGTTTTGACACATTTTCGTCTTTTCTTTCAGCTTCCCTGAAATCAGGATCAGCTCTTTTAGCACCAACCTCTTTCTTCATATCTCTGTAATCAGGATTTTCAATTCTTTTTCTCCTCTTGTTGGGAGTTCCTTTAAAATTTTCAGCTGCTCTGAATTCAGGATCAGCTCTCTTAGTCTGTTTACCATAGACTTCACTTTCTCTTTCAGCTGCTCTGAATTTAGGATCAGCTCCCTTAGTCTGTTTATCATAGACTTCTCTTTCTATTTCAGCTGCTCTGAATTTAGGATCAGCTCTCTTAGTCTGTTTACCATAGACTTCCATTTCTCTTTCAGCTGCTCTGAATTTAGGATCAGCTCTCTTAGTCTGTTTACCATAGACTTCCCTTTCTCTTTCAGCTGCTCTGAATTTAGGATCAGCTCTCTTAGGCTGTTTACCATAGACTTCCCTTTCTCTTTCAGCTTTTCTTACAGCAGGATCAGCTCTTTTGGCTCTTTGAGCTCCAACCTCTTTCTTCAAATCTCTGTAATCAGGATCTTCATTTCTTTTTCTCCCCTTGTTAGGAGTTCCTTTCAAATTTTCAGCTGACTTGAATTCAGGTTCAGCTCGTTTTGTCCGTTTATGACAGACTTCACTTTTTCTTTCAGCTGCTCTGAATTCGGGATCAGCTCGTTTTGTCTGTTTATGACAGACTTCACTTTTTCTTTCAGCTGCTCTGAATTCAGGATCAGCTCTTCTCAAATTTTTGTATTCTTTATAATACCTCTTTCGACTGTTTTCTTGATCCGAATTTAACCCTTTCAGTCGAATCACCTTTGTCTGCTTTTCTTCAAATTTAAAATATTTTTTTCAAGAAGGATTTCCTTCCAATACATCTGAATCCATCACATTTGTGGGGCTGACATTTCCATCACCTGCAGTGGATATCTCTTCCACTACATCTGGAAAAAGCCCGACATTTCTATCATTTGACTTTCAATCATCTGCAATGGATATCTCTTCCACTACATCAGGAAAACAATCTGCATTGAGGTTAGAGTCATCACTTATGTCTCTTTTCTCTCTCAATGCAGACATCAACTCTTTCTGCTTCTTTCGTCTGGATAATTTACTTTGCTTCTTTGTTCTTGGCATATATAATAAACTTAATCTAAAATATTAAAATATAATTATGTTCGCATTAAAAGTTGTTATCACTGTCATTTTATAGTTAAAAATGGGCTTGTAATATCACAAAATCTTGAATAATATTGAGAAGTACTGTGGGCAAGTTGGTAAAACACAGCCACCATAATAATGCAGTCTTGACATAATTTATTGTAGCCTAATCTAATATCATTCAGCAACTCATTTGAACATGCCAAGAAACCTTTCCCCTTGACCAATATTGAATGACATTATTAATGACATAATTAAACCATATATAATTTCATTTTTGTATTAACACTACAAGGCAAAATTAAATGAATAAGCAAACCTTTCTGTTGAATTAAATTTCTAAAATAAAGTAACATGCTGGAATATCACATGACTATATATGCCTACTGAGCTATGATTGGATAATTGTCTTGTTGGGGTTTTCCATTAGTCTATTTATAGTATCTTATGCTCAGTCTATTTATAGGATCTTATTATGTCATAATATGTATGGTAGGTTAATACTGACATGTTAAATGATTAAATTTATTTTTCTGATTTGTTTTTTTAAAATAATTTCTACTTTTAATATGTAATCTGATAATCAAATTTCTCAGGAAAATGACATCTATTTGAAAAGTGATTTTAACAAAATCTATGAAAACCTATTATGTCTTTGAATATTAGGCTACAGGTATTTATACTTATTTTTTTTAAAATTCAGTTCAGTTCATCCCTTTGACCTTGAGCAAAAATTATTTCAAAATACATCAAGAACAGTGTCTTTTAGAGTGCATTGAGTTCATCCTTTAGTAATACTAGTGTCTTTTAGAGTGTCTGCGAGGACATTGCATGTGTTTTAAAGAAAGAGGGCGATAACTCATATTAAATATTTTAAATTTCTTGAATTTTTGATAGAGATTCTTTTATAAGTGACAATAAACAATTCACTAAGTTTCATCCAAACCTGTCAAGAATTGTGCCTTCTAGAGTGTTTACAACCTAAAATATTTTTCGATTTTATTCATTTTCGATAGGGTTCATCCTAAATAATTTTAGCAAGTTTCGTGTATACAAGCTTAAAGAACAAGGGCAATAATTCATATTAAATATTTTTTCGATTTGAATGATTTTCTATAGGGTTCATCCTTGGGTGGTAATAAACAATTTCAGCAAGTTTTGTCAAAATCAGTAAAGAATTGTGACTTGTAGAGTGTTAACGAGCTACAAATCGAACGCGTTTTAAAGAACAAGGGCAATAATTCATATTTAATATTTTTCGATTTTATTGATTTTCAATAGGGTTCATCTTTGGGTGATAATAAACAATTTCAGCAAGTTTCGTCAAAATCCGTAAAGAATTGTGACTTGTAGAATGTTAACGAGCTAAAAATCGAACGCGTTTTAAAGAACAAAGGCAATAATTCATAATAAATATTTTTCGATTTTATTGATTTTCAATAGGGTTCATCCTTGGGTGATAATAAACAATTTCAGCAAGTTTCGTCAAAATCCTTAAAGAATTGTGTCTGTAGAGTGTTAACAAGCAATTGTGGACGGACCGACGGACACGGGTGACGGCAATATACGCCCCACATTTCACGTGGGCGTATAAAAAAGGGCTTTTGGTTTTCCGTCGCTGGTAGGCCCCCCACCATGGGCAGTGGCCACCACGCCACTGGCTACGTATTCAAAGGCTTCATCAAATTGCTTAATTAACAATAAGTACTTTTAAAAAATCCAGCTTGATCAAATAGATATTAATTGCATACTTTAGAAATATTTTCAGGTATATATATGACGTTTTGATAATGAAATTTTTTTTACCAAAATGTCAAAATCTGCTAACTGTTACTCGTTAGTTTGGTATGCACTTGACCATGTTCACAATCTGTTTACTTGTTGCACACTTCTAGAGCAAGACTTGAAATGCATATACCAGCTGATTTTGAACGTTGCTGTGTTTTTTTTCCAATTCAGTTAATTCCAGCCTGGACATTGTGCGAAGACTAACCAGGTTTTGTTGCCTTAATAAGATGAGAAATGTAAAAGGATAAATGGATGTAGAATACGCTGTTACACAATGTATCATTAGGATGGATAAGGGCAGGTGCTAATAGTTTACATTGAAAGCCAATTAATACCTATATTAAACTTCTATTGTCAGTGCCCACGCAGCATTTACATCTATGTGTAAAGTTATTAACACCTTGCGGCCCTGACACTTATCCCTCTTTGTTCTGAGCGCAGCTAAATTAACTTATACAAACAAGATTATACTTTGTGTTTCTGGAACAAGGCAATGTCGGCGTTCTCATTGTCAGAGACCTAGCCAATCAACAACCAACATGCAAGAAGTCCTATCCTTCAATCAGATTGCTAGATTAGGTTTTAACAAATCAGAAATGAGGATTATCCTAATGCTGAAATATTTATATTTGGTTTTAACCAATCAGAAAGATTCTATCCGACTCGCTAAGCAGCCTCCAATCTATTCTTCTCACCTCTTCTAATTGCAGGTCAGAAGTTATTTCCGAAATAAGAAGAATGATCCACAACTACCAAACCAACAACAACCAGAAGATTGAATTAGTACAGCCGGGTATCAGAATCACCATCTTCGGCGTCCCATACGAGATGGACACAAAGTACGTCCTCTCGAAAATAAACCAGTACTGTGTGGCCAATAAGATCATCCGCTGTACATATAGAGATCATCCATTTATGTACAACGGAGTCTGTTTCATCTACACTAAAAAGGTAGATAACCCCATACCATCCAACCTTACCATTCAAGGATGTAGATTGGGGGTAAAATATGAAGGACAGCCCCAGCCTGATAGGAAGTGCTATGTCTGTCAAGTTGAAGGACATACTGCCAGGGACTGCCCTTCTAGACCACCACCACCCCCTATCTCACCCATCACTGACAAAGAGGGGTCGGGTGCCTTTCAAGTTTACAATCCTCGTAAGAAAGCCCCGAATCAAATTTCCAAATCGGTGGGAGATCTCCTCAAAACCATTAGGAACACCTCTACGCCCATTCAGTCCAATAAAAACAATCTGGACACACCGGCTACCCCTGGCTGGGTACCGGATGAAGCTGAATGGGAAAACGTAGAGGAAAGTGACTATGATAAAAGTAAAGAGGAGATCGCTCAGCGATCGAGTCTCATAGCCAGCACATCCAAAGCGCCAATACCCAAAGCCCCGAAAGACAAACGTTCAACCCTCCAAGACACGCCCCTATCCTCCAGATCCAACTCTAAAGATAGGAAAAGGGATAGGGACAGGAGTAGCCTACTCGAAGATCATAAAAAACACAAGATAGCCACTCATGAAACATCTGAGAGTAGAGAATCGAGTACCAGTATGGATCCCTCGAACTCTACTACTAGAGGGAAGGCTACTCAAAAAAAGAATAAATAGATGTCGTTAACCATTATTAATAATAACAAACAACAAAAAAAACAAAACAAGTAATATTATTAACAACAATTTATAATGATTTTTACAACATTAAATATCTGTAGAGGTTTTCTACATAAATATCACCAAATTTTGAAAGACTATAAAACATCGGATGTGATCAGCCTGCAGGAAACAGGAATTGTCTCTGATGAGACAATCACTGATATTGAAACACTACTCCTTACAGACTGATCACATCCAATG